GAATATCCAGAGACTTCTGAGGGCGGAGTTGCATGTGTTTATAATGTAGCTGGCATGAATACTGAAAAAGCTCTTGAGATCTTTGATCTTAAAAATATTCAGTATGCGTACAAAGATGGAACTACTCGTGAAAGTGTTTACTGTCCTTTTTTAAAAACAAAAGTTTACAAAGAAACAAGAACATGCCGTGGTATTAAAATATGCCAATTTGCAGCACCTGAATTAGTTACAATGGCACATATATCAGTTGACTTTGACGATACTTTATTTAAAAAAATATTCGAAGCAAATGAGCTATCTTTGGATACGAATACTTTAAAGTAAATACTTATCTTAAAATATAGATTGGAATCGTCCCAATTTAGAGTCGGGTTGCCCAAATGGGAATTTTACAAATTATTAGGGTTTTAGAGTTATGTAGGGGTAGAATTAAGGTTTATAATAAAATTCTCATTTGGGTCTGAATTGGGATAATTTTTATTCGAGTACAACATATATACTAAAAATTTTATACTTATTAGCGCGTTTGCTGCAGCACATAAAGTACCATGTGGATTTACTTGTTCTCAAACTGGTGTTCAGTGTAATGGAAAACCTAAACTTAAAACTCATTATCAGGTTTTGTATTATTTTATTTAATAAAAATATAATATATATTGATATTCATATACGTATTAATTTAAATTAAAATTATATTATTTATAGCAAGAAGATGATACTTCTACACCTACTTATTTTATCGGCTGTGAGAAATTTAAAAATGGTAAACGTGGTCATCGATATCAGAGTTTGTCTGGACGAATTAATATCGAATACTTGAAAAAACTTTTTCACGAACATATATATTATGATAATGGAATCACTAGAGAAGTATTTATTATAAATTAATTATTTATAGCTAAATTTATTTAGTATTTAAATACTCAAATACTAATGTTTATACTAAATTCAGATTCCAGATTCAATTCGACATTGCTATACAATACATCCTTTTAGTGCAAAAGCAAAAAAATGCCGTATATTTTTATTTATTAATTGATTAATTTAATATACATAGATTTTAAATAATATTTAATTTATATTTATATAGCACATATTCATACTACCGAAAACAATGAAGTAGTCCAAGGATTGATCCAAAAAAAATCAGAATGCCCTGTCAAATTTTGGCATTATGTACCCGAAGATCTTGAAAATTGTCCGTATATCGTGATTATGTCACGAAATATTCATAATCACCCACCACCACCACCATCTAAAGTACCTGCAGCAATTCAAAATGATTTAAAAAAAGTAATTGCAGAGGAGGATATTTTAGATTTAACGGCTAGGAAATTAATTACCCGTATGTATTGTAGTTTTTAAGTTTCATGCACCATATGTCATTTTCATTGAATTATTTTAAATTATTAGGTGCATCGATGCAACGATTTCTTAAAGGAGCCCCACTTCCAGAATTACATCCATCATTGAATAATAGATCAAAAATTGATCATATGATCGCAACAAAGCGTCGTGCTGAACATCCATATGGTCAAGATATTATGGGCGTTGCGCATATGCTTTTGAAACAAAGTCAAAATGATGATAATCCTTATATTAGAACTATTCGTAAATATAAAATATATATTTGTATTTATATTTATATTTATATTTAATATATATTTATATTAATTTTATTTTATTTTTTAGGATTCTTTGATAACGGCCAATATTTAATATTATGTGGATATAAAAATCAAATGAAATACTTGGCAGATTCCTTATATTTCGAAATAGATATGAGTTTTAAACGTGTACATGGACCGATTAATGAATGGGAAGTATGTGCTTATGTAGAAAAATACCAAAAAAGTAAGAAAATTTTAAATATTTTATATATGCATATATTAATAAGTATGTATGACTTGTATGCCAGGGTTGTGGTGCAGATTTGCAATTACAAAAATTTACTAAAGTTCATATTAAGGATAGATGTTAGCAAATTATATAGTAAAATCATCTAAAAAATCTTTCACTAAAACACTAAAGGGGACTTTTTATTAAGATTTTTGAGAAATAAACAAGTTTTGACAAAACAAACGTTTGTTTAGAATCTTCTCGATTGTGTTATATTATCTAATTTGTTGGAATATTTAAAGTAGATTTTTATTAACATTTTTTTAGAAATAAGCGATTTTTGACAAAACAAACGTTTGTTTGGAATCTTCCTACATTATCTGATTTGTTAGAGCACTAAAAGTGATAAGATTTTTAAGAAATAAGCGATTTTTGACAAAAATATTTATCTGGAATCTTTAGAAAATCTGCGCCATGAATCTGGCACACATTTAAAACATGCTATATAATAAATATTAATTATATTGATTATATTAAAGCTTTAGTATTTGCGCGTGCTTTCACAATTCTTCAAACAGCAAATACATATCAAAAGTTATTTGAAGAGCTTTTTACTTGTGTAGAACAAGATTGCGGGCATTCTGTCGAGTTTCAACATATTCACGGTCGTGGAATTGGATGCATTTTAGCCGATGAGCATTATGGTCAAGCAATAGGTAAATTTTATGCACATTACTCTGGTTATATCAGCATTTGGATATCTGGCTATACCGATATTCTTTAAAATTTTAAACCTATATGCTTAATATAAAAAATATCCAGTTACCGATATCTGAATATATCAGACAATTTTTATTTTTTTTGAAATGTTGATATGGCTAGAGTAGTTACAAGAACGATTATATGATTTAACTCAAAAATCTAACAACTTTTATCATGAACGTTATGTATATATTAATTTTTAGGCTTAGGCCAATATTTAGCAGATAAATTTTCAATTTTTAATGCTACTGAACACTTAGAGCGAATTTATAAATTATGCACAATACATTTTAAAAGGTAAACATTTATAATTAATTTAAATTATTAAATATATATCAGTATACTTATTTATTTTAATTTATTTAAATCATATATATATACGTAGAAATATTCGCAACAAAAAGGGGATAAATAAGGAAATCAAAAAAAAAATGTATTCCTTAATTAAAAGTAAAACGGCCTATGAAATCATGAGTACTCTTGAATTTCTTGAATCTTGTGAAGAACCCAGCGTTATTGGTATATTATCATTATATAATTAATAATATAATATATAATTATATTAAAAATTAATTAATCATTGTATTCTTAGATTGGGTACAAAATAAAAAACATCCGTGGATACTTGCTGGCTTGTCTCCTGCCTTTACTAAAATGGCACATAAGATTTGGGCTAGTACACCATTTACAACTAATGCTGGAGAATCAGCTCATGCGAATATTAATAGAAATGGGCGTAATTTGTCTTTATTGGCTGCAATTACCAAGTATAGTATTAAAACTTTTTAAGAGTATCGTTATGCAATACATATAACTTTTGTATGCATATTTGTGTAATATTCACACATATTAATATAATTAAAAAAATAGAGCCAAAGAATTTGACAAACTTCAATGGAGTTCAGCATTTACATATGAAAAAACGAATGTATCAGACTCCTATCGAAACAAATCACCTTTACAGAGAACTACTGAATCGGTTAAAAAAACAAGTATGTATACATATAAATTATTGCAATTTTGTAATTAATATATATTAATTGATAATGAATTAATTAATTTAAAGGCAAAGGCAAAGGCAAAGGCAAACGTTCAAATGAAACTTCGGTTAATCAAAAGTCTTTTAAAAAGGCTCGAGTTTCAAGTGAATCAATTAATATTGAAGAACAAGAAAGTCTTTTAAGAATTGAATGTGAAAAGCTTGCTATTCAGAAAAACAAAAACAATGAATTGGAAAAAGAAATAATGTTACGAGAAAAACTTCAAAAACTTCAAAATAATTAAATTTTATAAACTGTTGTATCGATATGCAATAATATATATTTGTGAATACAATAGCACAGTAATTATATCGATATACATTTTGCTAATGCAAATAGATTACAATAAAATATTGGTAACGGTAATATAATATTATCATTATGCTTTTTAATATAAATTGTAAATGAACATAAAACGTATCTAAATATTAATTAAATATTTGGCATGAAATATTCATGTAATAATAATTAAGTCAGCTTTGAGTTGTAGGTTTTTTAAATTGCTTTCGACAATAATGATATTATTTTAGCAAAGTTCAAATGTATTGTACTGTACTATCTCTTATATTTTTTTAATCAATACAGTACAGTACACGTTTATATTTTATATTATAAAAAGGTGTACTGTAAGGATATATAGTATAGTACACCTAAATTTATGTACAGTACAGTACATTCAACAACAAAATACAGTACGAAACTTCTACAGTCCGAAGATTATACTACCTCCCTACTTGGAACTTGCCAAATGGGTTTTTAGTAATTCTGGTTTCCTGAATTTATTGCACCAAAGCTTCTATTCAAGATAGTGTGACTAAGATTACAGATATTTGGATCCAACCTATAATCTTAACGTTAACCAATACAGGTCTAATATATTCAAAATCATCGTCCATGGGATTCGAACTTTAAACCTGCCATTTAGGAGTGCAACAACTCCACCACTTCACTAAGTCACCACACCCAATTTTAAATATTAATGAGTTTGAGTTATAATAAATAGTATTAAAATGTAGACTTAGTCAAATAGGTTTAAGATCAAGATCAAGATAAAATTGTGTATAGTTAATAGTCTGGTATTAGTTATGAAGAAAAAGATATAGATAGGCAAGATTGATTACAATATGGACACATTGAGAAATAGAGTATAAAAGTAAAAAATAGTAAGAATAAAAATTTTTTTTGTAGTTTAAACTTGTAAAAAAAACAATAGTAAAGTTGGATAAAATATTTTTAAAAGTAAAAAGTAGTAACTTAGATGAAATATTAGGATTATAAAAAGGTGTATTAGAAGTGTTTTAATAAATAATATTAAAAAAAAATTGTAGTTTTTGTAAAATCATATTTTGTAATAAATTATTAAAATTATTACAGTTAGATTGTTGTTGAATAATAGAAGTGTAAATTGTCTTTCCTGGCTAAAAGTTTTAAAGAAAAGGTTTAATAAAATTAAAACTTGTATTTCAAGGGGAGTTGAAAATTAGGTTTGATTTTGAGCTCTATATTAATTGAAAATGCTTAAAACTAGTTAAGAGTTTTACTTCGAAAGTTGATAATGAGGAAATCTTTGTTGAGTCATAGTTAGTTTTAAATATAGATAATAAAAAAATCAAAAAATTTAATAAAATAATATAAATAATTTAAAAATAAAACTTGATGGCATTTTGGTCATATAATCAAAATCAGATGATTTTAGATTTATTAAAATTGTCTTAAAAAGAAGATTATTTTGGTAGTTAAATCATCTAGATTGGTTAAATAGATCAAAAGTTATTAAATTTTAAAGATTTTGTAATAATAATAAATATAATAGTTAATATATATAAAATATAGATAAATATAGAAATATATAAGAGTATAGATTATAGGATATTCAATTTGTTATAATTTTAAAGTATAGATAGTATAAAAACAGTTAGTTTTAGATATAAATTGTAAAAAATTAAAAAGAATATATAGAATTTAATAAAATAATATAGATAATTTGAAAATAAAACTTGATAGCATTTTGGTCATATAATCAGATTAAATGATTTCAGATTCATTTGAATCGTCTAGAAGAGAGGTTCATTTTGGTAGTTAAATCATCAAAATTGGTTAAGTAGATTAAAAGTTATTAAATTTTGAATATTTTATAATAAGAATTTTAATACATGAGTGTATATAAATCATATAGTAGTTCACATCAATAAAGGCAGGATCACTTAAAAAAAAAAATAAATAAATATAATAATTAATTTATATAAAATATAGATAAGTATAAAGAAGATATATGAAAATATAAATAATAAATATTTGATTTTTTGTAATTTAAGAGTATAAATTGTATAAAAAAAACATGTATAGAAAAATTTGAGGTGTAGAGGTAGTAAAATTTACTAAAAAGAATTATTATATTAATAATAGACTTTGTATAATAATTAATAGATTTGTGTAAAATTGATTGTCAGAATGAAAAATATAAAAAAAAAATTAATATTTTCATAATATAAAGTTATTTTGAATAAATTTAGAAGTAGCCAAATATTATACAAGAATTATATATAGTGAAGAGAACAAAAAAAAGGACAAAAATAGTTGTAAAGAGTAAGTAAAAGAGAGTTAAAGTGTTTTAAAGAATAACTTTATCAATTTTAAAGCTACACATATTAGCAGATTTGTAGAATTTGTTAAATAAAAAAACCTATAAACTGTAATACTAGTCAAATTTGCAGATCATTTGGCCAGCTTTGAAGTCAAATAATTTAAAACCAGGCCAAATGATTTGCAAATTTGACTAGAGTTATGGCTCATAGGTTTTTCTATTTATCAAATTCCATAAATCCACCAATATGAAAGATGAAATATAGCTTGTTATGATAAGAAAAGTGTATAAAACAAACTTTTCTTATTTTAGAAAAGAGATTTAGAATCAGGATATTGAGCAAATAGCCAAAGTTTGAGTTATTGTTATTGGTCTCAAAGAACTTTTTTGAAGTTTACTTCATAAGTATAAAAGCTAATTTGGGTGTTATGTGTATTTTTATGAGCCGGACAAGTTTACTTTTTTTTTTTTTTTTTTAATGTTTTTTTTTTTTATATATATATTAAGGTGATCACTTAGACCATTAGCATAAGCTTTATTCAGATAGTTATGATATTACATCTGTTTTACAAAGATACAACTAGCCACATATGCACCTTTTGAGTAACTAATTTAAGTAGTCCATCTAGGTTCTATACTAGCCGCTATACCTGTAATCTAACTAGGAGATTACCTATTTAAGCTCTCTAGTTATTTCTAGCAAGAGTACGACTAGCTATACATGCAACTTTTGGTTGCCTATTCAAGTAGTCTGCCCTAGATTCTACACTAGCTACCATACCTATAACCCAAATAGAAAGCTACCTATTTAAATCCTCTGCTATCACTTTTGTAACACACCCTACCCTAATACTCATATAAGATTAGCTATTGTCGTGAATAACCTAAGACTTTAGCCAAACCATATTGGGGCATTTATCCTTGTGATAAACCTAACAGAGCAGTATATGTTTCATACATGTGCTCACCCGCATGTTTGGTAACTTTTTTCCAATTAGTATATGTTGTGCTGCTACCACCAAGCTTGTATCTCAAGCTATTCTTTCAGATACTGCTGTAATCTGATTCATATCTCAAGCCACAACCTTCCTAATTAGTTCTCACTTATATACTCCTGCCCTTGCAAGGTTTATAATGATCCCAGTGCCCATATTCTAACTGCTTTCTTTCTCAGATTTCTTACTGGTCCCTCACTTACTTCTAGCCAGCAACCTGGAAGGGTTGGTTTGTCCAGGCTTTAGAAGCCTTATAGTCTTCCTCCCCTTGGTACATGCTTCTAAAGCACAAGTTCTTTTCCTCTGGTGGCAGGCCAGCAGTTTGGCTAATGTGTCCCCTACTTAAGGACCTGGTCGCTCAGTTCTCTAATCTTGGTCTCTGGTTCCAAATTTAGTTTTCTTGTAGCACCATCAAAGATCACTACTACTTTTCAACTCAGGACTTGCCAAACAGGTTTTTAGTTATTTCAGTTCCTTGAATTTATTATGCCAAAGCTTCTATTCAAGAAGGTATGATCAAGGTTAATTAGGATCCAACTGATAGTAATAGCTGTTAACTATATCACAGAGCTATTTTTCAAAAATGTTGTCCGTGAGATTCGAACTCTAGACCTGCTATCTGGAGATGTGACAACTTCACTACTTTACTAAGTTACTACACCCTTTTTTTTTTAATATTTAAGGTGAAACTATACTTTTATCTTTATTAAACTTAATAAAAACTTTTTACAAGATTGAAAAAGGTTTTATTTTTAAGTCTATTATTAAGAATAAGAACTCAGACATATAACTAAAAGCCTAAACTAGATATACTTGGAGACTTATCTGTAGCCTAAACCTACTAGAATAGCCAAGGCTCATCTAGATTTGGGATAAGTTAAGTTTTTAAGATAGATGTGTATAATTGTTGATCCAGTTAAATACCAAATTGTTATTTTAGATGAAGGTGTTAGAGAGGGAGTTGATAAAGTATTTGTGGTAGGATTTGGGTTGCTTGCAGAACTTTGTTGGGTTTCAGAGAGTTGAGGTTGGGGTCTTAAGCTGCAGTATGGAATCTAAAGATTTGTATATAGTTGCTTGTTAATATACAAGAGAAGTTTTATAGTAAAATCATTGGCTATTTGGTTAGATGTAGTAAATTCACAGATTGTATTTATTATATCAAGTGAGATAAGTCCAGAGAGAGTAGAAAATATAGAAGGTTTGTATGAAAGTAATATATTTGAAGACTATCAAGATTAATAATTTGGTTATATGGCTAGTTAAATTGTGTTAAAGAGATTTGAAGTTTGAGTTTAAAATGTGTTGTAGTGAATTCTGAATAAGTTCATAGAGAGGGTTAGGAGCAGAGCATATAGCCTAATAGAGTGGGGTGCTTGTTTATTGACATATAGGGGGCTCCACAGCAAAAGGTGGGGATGGGTCAAAAAAATTTTTTCTGTAGTTTTTTAATATTGTGTTCTAAATGATCTAATTTTTGCAAAAATAAAGTTTTTACAAAAAATTTTTTTTTGGCCTATCACCACCTTTTGCTGTGGAGCCCCCCATATATAACAGATATTAGAGAAATGAGAGTTTTATTTGTGTAGAGTATGTGGTGCTGGGAGTTCATCAGTGAGTAGCTTGACTCTAAATATTTTAAATATAGAGGACTGGAAGCTATAA